CAGAGGTGGTGGCAGGAGCCTGAGAAGGCTGCTCACAGTCAGGAAGGAGAGAGAGAGAGAGAGAGAGAGAGAGAGAGAGAGAGAGAGAGAGGGAGGAGAGAGAGAAGAGAGGGGAGGAGAGAGAGGGGAAGGGAGGGAGAGAGGAAGGGAAAGAAAAAAGGAAGGTGAGAGAGGAGAGGGAAGGAGGGAGAAAGAGAGAGGGAGGGAAAGAGAGAAGACAGAAGGGAGAAAGAGGGAGAAGGGGAGAGAGAGGGAGGGAAAGAGAGAAGAAGGAAGGGAGAAAGAGAGAGGGAGGGAGGTGGGAGAGAAGGAGGGAGAGAGAGGAGAGAGAAAGGGAGGGACAGAGAGAGGGAAGGAAGGATAGAGAGGGAGGGGGAGAGAGAAAAAGGAGAGCAAGGAAGGGAGGGAGGGAGGGAGAGAGTGAGGCTGTTGCTTAGTTCATGTTCTCCCTTTCTTCTTTTTCATTCAGTCTAAGACCCCATGCCCATGAGATGGGGCTGTCCATTTCAGGTGTGTCTTCCTCAGAAAACCTCTCAGGAAACTCCGTCAGACACACCCTGTGGTGTTTCTCTGGGATGGTTAGTGTTAATTGCCCACTAGACAGAATCTTGGACAAGCCCACAAGCACACCTGTGAGGGACTGTCTAGGTTGGAATGGCCTCCAGGCAACCTATGCAAAATTATCTTGACTAGGTTCACGGAGGTAGGGAGTCCCACTTTGCAACCACCCTTTCCCTGGGGTGAGATCACAGACTGTGTAGATGGAGAAAGCACGGTTGGACATAGTGATTCCTCAGCCCCCTCTGCTTCCTGACTGTAGATGCGATAGGACGGGCTGTTTCAAGCTCTGATCTGTTTGGCTTCTCTGTCATGATGGACTGCTTTGAACTATGAGCCAAAAGAAGCCCTTTCTCTCTTAAGTAGCTTTTGTTGAGTATTTTATCAAAGCAACATAAAAAGAAACTAAGGCAGTATTTTAGGTGTCTCTAGATCTAATCAAGTTGACAATTCAGATTCACCATGAGAAGCTTTCTCCACTTGTTAATGATAAAAAGTGTACTTAATATTTTTAGCTGGTTGTTGTTGGTGCATGCTTTTAAGCACTTTGGAGGAGGAGGCAGGCAGATTTCTGAGTTTTGAGGCCAGCCTGGTCTACAGAGCAAGTTCCAGGACAGCCAGGGCTACACAGAGAAACCCTGTCTCCAAAACAAAACAAAACAAAACAACACAGCACAACAACAAAAAACAAAAAAGACTCACCATTATACGACCTGAGTGGGTAGTGGTGGCTGCCAGGTGCTGAACTGGGAGGGCTGACAGCAAGCATTACCTGTAGCCTAGAACCATGAGTCTTCCGGTGGACAGGAAGTATAAATAAATACAGAGCGATTTCTTTAGTGGCCGTGTAGCACACAGAGGCACCGACTGAACGGAATCTGCTGGAGTATGTGAGATTGGTGCTTTCCCTGTCTTTAAGACCACGCGGCTTTCAGATGTGTTTGTTTATATTGGTGTTCACGGTAGTTTTATTTATTTTTTTAAACTTGCTTCATGACTGTTGTTTTTTACGTGAGTGTGTCATGGCACACATGGGAGATCAGAGGGCAACTTTTGGGAGTTAGTTCTACCCTCCCGCTGTGCGTTCTGGGACTGAAGTTTTCAGGCTTACATGGCGTTTAGCTCACCCTCCCGGGGAATTTTCTGAAGATTAAAATAATTATGTGGCTCGTATGTGCGTGCGTGCATGTGTGCACGCGTGTGTGTATATGTGTGTGTGTTGGTGTGTGTGTGTATCTGTGTGTGTGTGTGTGTGTACCTTTAGAGACCACAGGCATCAGATACCCTGAGCTGAGGTCCAGGCGGGGCAATCGGACCGACAGTGGAGCTGGGAGCCACACGCAGGTCGTCAAGGAGAGCAGTGCACGCTTTTAACTGCTGAGCCACCTGTCCTCCCTGCTCTGGGTCAATGTTTGTTAAAATTCCTTAAGAAGTTGGATCTGCTAGTGTAGACTGTCAGACTGCCATGGTAGCCGCCCGGGACTGCAGGCTCAAGGCCTGCCTGGACTCCAGAGTGGGCACAAGCCAGCTCAGGTAACTTACTGAGAGAGTCACCTCAAAACAGAAAGAAAACAAAAAAGGACTAGATGTAGCTTAGTGGTCATGTGCAAGGAGCTAGGTTCAACCCCACTAACACACACACACACACACACACACCTCTACCTTCCTTGGAGTAGCAGATAGTGCATATTTATGTAGTCTTGTGAATACATCTTCAAATGATTTACCTATTAAAATGCCATTTGTGTGTCTGTGAAGTCCGTGTGTGGACGCAGGTGAGTGATGTCCACGGCGTGCACAAGCCACAGTGTGTCGCTGTGGCTCAAAAAGCATCTTTTTTTGGGTTGGTGCAGTATGTACCCAGTGCAGAGGGGCAGAGACTGGCAGATTCATGGAGTTCACTGGCCAACTTCTGTCAGCAAATTGGTGAGCTCCAAGTTCAATATGAAGACTTTGGAGCACGCACATGCTCACAAAAACACATGTCTAAACACACAGACACACACGGATACAGACACACACCTTCAAAATACATTTGGAGTCAATAGAATGCCCAGCTCTCCAAGGGTATTTAGCAGAGTATAGGACACTATTAAATAGTATTGAATGATTATCAGTGTGAACAATAAGCCTTTATGATAAGCACCCACCTTAACGTTTATTTTTCCTTCAAATAAGCTCAGCATTTGCTCCCCTAATTGATAGCTGCTAGTCTCTGCCAGAGTGTGCCAAGCAGACTATTAGCCAATCAGTTTGGTGGACCGCCCTGGTGGGGGGCAACCAGAATGGCTGTGCAGAAGCTCAGCTACTCTGAGCACATCACAGCCCCCTTGAGAAAGCTGCACAGCATCCACAGATGGTTGCTGTTGAAAGGAATCTCCACTTCCAAAAGCCGCTACCCTGGGCACCACTGTCTCAGCTTCTGTCTCCTCCCCTCTCCTCCCTCCTACCCTCCCTCCAGGATGTCACTGTGCTGCCCAAGCTGGCCTCAAGCTCACACTCCTCTTGTTCATCCTCTCCAGTGAGCCGTCCTACCCAGCTTCCTAAAGGAATCCTTTTGTGATCACAAGCCTCGGTGAACTGAGGCAGCCATTGAAACTCGAGCCGCCACAGCAGACTCCATAAAGGGCTTCTCTCCCGGGCTCTTTGCCTGTTTTTGATCCTTCTCATCAGTTCAGCCGGCTGAACGGGTGATATGATCACGAGACGATTGGAGGACAGGCCGTAAGGGAACGAGCACGGACTCCAAGGGAGGACGGGAGTAGAAAGAGCAAATGAGCGAGCATGAGGGGCGCTGAGGCTGAATAGGACAGAAGGCCATGAAGAGCCACAGACGGAGCTGGCAGTGAACCAGGGAGCTGTCAAGCGTTAAGGGCTAAGGGGACACCTTGAACTCAATAACCGTAACACAACACCTCAGTCCATAGAGGAGCAGTAGCTCTGGCAGGCACAGCTGCTACCAGTTACTACTATTGGAGGCCATATATTACAACAGCTGCCACGTGCCAGGGCCACCGGTGGGTTAAAGGCCGGGACATTAAGTCTCTAGTTTATAAAGCTGGACACAGTAGACCTCAAGGTCAGAACTGGTCATTGAAAGCCTGTAGGCCTGCTGGTCCAGCTAGTAGACCATGGGCACACCTGGGAAGCTGGCACTAGGTGAGCTTCTCCTTGCCTACTCAATTCCTATCTGGGCAGAGTAGAAGGACCTCAGCCTGCTGGCTTGTGACCCTTGTTCTGTCCGTACACATGGAAATCTTTTCTTAATACAAAAATATATAGGCTTGAAATATCGTCGTTGCAAGGAAGGAATTCCTTTTCTGAAAGACCTGAGTCTCTTCTGTGCAATGTAAATCTCGGGAAAGAGACTGTTCCTATCTCCCTGGGGAGTTTAGTGGACGGGGTGGGGGGAGGGCGCCTCGCCTCGTTCAGAGATGTAACTACCTGCCTGTCACAGGAACGTGGGAGCTTTCGCCTCATGAGATAAGACCAGCTCAGATGGGCACCTCGGTGACCAGGTGACGTGAGAACGGACCTGGGAGGAGAGGCAGCCAGTCCTGCAGAGCCATACTTCCGAGGAGGGAGAGTCACCCTTCCTCCTGAGACCACAAGCACCCTACAGCGGGTTATATTCCTGAAGCTTCTGCCTCCTGCCTACTCTTCGTGGGGCAGTACTTCACCTGCAATGGGCACCACAGGTTTACTGGGGCGCTTCGTTCACGAGGATACTTATTTTCTGCAATTGTGTAGAGAATTTTCGCATTGGCAGCTTTCGTTCAGTCTCCATCATCTTTGGAAACCGACAGGACAAGAACTCTTGCATTAGGGAGCGCGGGTGGAACTGGGGAAATCATTGACCATATGGTATCATGTTTGAACATTGTTATTGTCGGCTGACTTCAAACATCGACTTTGAGACAGGCACCTTTAATGGGACTTTCTGTGTATCCGTACCGGTTGCTTTTAGAACTTTTATGCATTCGTTGTGTGATCCAGAAAAATCACTATTTTTGTCTTCTTTCCCTTCTTTGGAAAGAATTGCCGGTCATTTCTTGTAGTTGGTGCTTTATGGAAACTTCTAGCACTTCGGTTAACAAGAGCACGACAGACAGTTATCTGTCAGAATCCGCCTTTTATCTACACGCCCCAAGTCAGGAGAGGGCGTGAAACCTCGAAGATACAACCCCTCGGGCCATTTCTGGAGACTCAAAGGGAGTGGGGACAAACACAACAGTGACCGCGGGACCCCGAATTACTGTTGCTCCCAGCTTGGTGAGACGAGGAAGAGACTTGTGCGACGATCCCTAGAAACAGGGGCGCCTAGACTTCTGGGAGTCCACCCTTTGCGCCTGGGGTGAGAGGAAGACCACAGGGACCCCGCCGCTTCGGGGACGCTGCAGCGCGTGCGCACCTCGGCCTGCGTGCGAGTTCGCGCGTGCGCACGACCGCTGCTCCGCCCTGGCTTCCTACGGTCTGTGTTTCTGCCCTCGCTCCCGCAGCTTTGCCTTGCGCGAGTTGGCGTGGTAGAGCGTGCGGGTCCGAGGCCGGAGCGTCCGGGTCCGCAGCGGGCAGGCACGACTGTGCAGCCCGGGGAGGCCGAGGGCCGGGCTGACAGGGGTGTCAAGACCCGGGCCCGGCGCGGCCTCCTAGGTGAGGCCTGAGGATGCAGAACGGGGCCTTGGGGGTAGGGGGAGGCTGGATCTGGCTGGTTGCTTGCCGGGGGCGAGGGGGCTGAGCAATCAGCGCCTGCGCGAAGCCTCTGCTCCCTCCTTCCACATAGTTAGGGATCCGGGATGGTCGCAGTGGTCAGACTGAAGGCAGGATGACTGCACTGCTTTGGGCAGCGTTGATTGTCAGAGAACGAGGCGTGCGGGCACAGCAGAGGTTAGCGGCCTGAGCTGCAGAGGCGCTGTCCACTCTCCTTCTCACGCAACACCCCTTCCCGGCACCGCTACAGATTCTCACGGTGTCACCTGGCACCCATCGGCACCCTTGCACTGTCTGCTTGGCTCCCCCGAGTCTGTCCCTGCAGCATCGTAGGGTTTAGTTCAGAGAAAGTTTGTGGGGAGACTGTCTGCTATGGTGGTGACTTAATCGAGGACACACTGAGGTTTTTTTTAGTAGGAGTGCCCAGTCCCAGGCTGGCATTCCTTCTGCAGTATTAAAGACGCAGTCACAATGTCACCTAATTTTATACAAATATAGTTCCCACCAGGTTAACTGTGTTGTTTTCAGAGCAGCCTGTGAGTATTCTTTTATCCCTATTAAACAATGTAAATTATTTAACCAGCATTTCGTGTTAGTTCACTTTGACATTCCCGTCCATCCATTCCCCATGCATAGTTATAACTCTCCGGACCCTTCTGAAAGCCAATGAGACCATCACCCATAAGGTTTCCTTCTTGGCATGTTCTAGTAGGTTTCTCTATAGATTTCTCCCTTGTCATACCACTAATAATGGCTTTGCTTTTCCTTCCCCAGAGCCATTCCAAGTACTTCTCCAGACGTTTCCTTCAGCAGCAGAAGATGACTACATCGTTGGTAAGTTTTTTCTCTTCACATCTCTATGGTCTCGTTTGGTCTCTGCACTCAGGTGAAGAACAGTTCAGACTTTAAAAGGGAAAATAGATAAAAGAGTCAGACAAAACTGTGCTGAGCAGTAGTAAGTGGTTTTGGTTGTGCTCGTAGCTCCAGGTAGCTCGGCCCTTGAAGAGGCCTTATGATGGTGTGGTTGTCACCATGACCAGATTCAGAAATGTGGGAGATGGGCCTCTGGGAGTGCCTGTGTGTGTGTGTGTGCGTTGGGGGAGGGGGGTGTCTTGGTTATATTCGTTGATGTGTGGAAACTTGTTTGATTGTGGGCAAGACCATTCCCTGGGCATGCTGGACTGCGTAAGATGGAGAGAATGACTTACACACTAGCAGGCATGCCTTCCTTCTCTGTTTTCCGGTCGTGGATTTGGTGTGGCTAGCTGCTTTCCGCTCCTGCTGCCTGGGCTATTCTCCGTGATGGATTGTACCCCTGAACTGATCCACAGCCCAGCTCTCCAGTATACTGTGCTTGTTCCCCTGCAGACTTTATAGCAGGCAGGGGAGAAAAATGGTTCACGAAGAGACAAGAATGAACCTCGGCTCAGCCCAATTTTATTGTAACTGGTGCCGGAGCAGGACTTAGAGAGTCTGGCCCAGATCATTTAACTTTAGCCATACTTAAGCACAGCACAGTTTTGGAAAGAAGTATTCAGATAACAATGAACTCAGTCCCAAGTGCACAACAACCCAAGACATGTTTACATTGAGATTCTTTACATAGTACATCTGGCTTCTTTCGCAAACATGGGTACTGTTGGCTCAGAGACAGTGCCCGAGACTTAGAGTTGACTGAGGTAAACATAGTGCCAGTGGGTGTCAGGATTGGCCTGGCCCTAAGATAACATAGAAGTCTCTTAGGCTGTCGTAAAGTGCAAGTGACGTCACTCATAAGAGTGGGGTTTGTGGTCTAAAAACAATGTTCAGGATGTAGGGGGAAGGTTTTAGATAAGTGTACATGCCGTGTTGGATATGTAGAGAGGTCAAAGGACAACTTTCAGGAGTCAGGTCACGGGGATTGAACTCAAGTTGCCGATTTGGTGGCGAGCACCTTCACCTGCTGAGCCATCTTGCTGGCCCTTGTGTTTTTATTCGTAAGATGCTCTGTCGTTTCCATTCATTTCCCAGAGCACTGGGAAACAGGCTTACAGGTCGCTGGCTTGAGGCATGTTTATAATAATATATAGTCGATAATCAACAATAAGTTAGATACCGATGGAATCTGCTTCACTGTGCTAAGTGCTTCCCATAGGGTCTGTGATACCCACTGATGTTCACGGGTGGCGGTGATGCTGTGGCGGGAAGCAGTTGCACTGCTGTGTGTTTGGGTGATGCTGTGGCGGGAAGCAGTTGCACTGCTGTGTTTGGATGATGCTGATGTTTTCGGGCGATGCTATGGTGGGAAGCAGCTGAATTGTTGGTGTGTTCGGGTGATGCTGTTGTGTTCAGGTGATGCTGTGGTGGGAAGCAGCTGCACTGCTGTGTGTTCGGGTGATGCTGTGGCGGGAAGCAGTTGCACGGCTGTGTGTTCATAAACGAAACAGTTTAAACACTAAACTGAAGTTTGAGGAGCTGGGGACATAGCTGTGTGGTTAAATACTTGTCCCACAGATTGTGGACTGAAGTTCAGATTTCCAGAAACCCATAAAAATGCCAGGAGGATGTGCCTGCCTGTAATGGCAGCCTTGAAAGAAAGAGACAAGGGGATCCCAGGAAGACTACCATGTCCCTTAGTTCTGGTCTTGATTGAGAGTGTGCATTGGACAGTGTTGTGTTGAAGAATCTGGGGCGTCTGTGTCTAGAGTGCAGGAGACAGACCTGAACTGGTGATGATTTGGGAAGGGTTTGTACATGGAGGGCAGTTTAACTGCCGTGAATCCACGCAGGCCCTCCATCAAAGCGGTCGTTGATCTGGAAACCCAAAGGAGAGAAAAGCTAACAGAGAACACAAGGAAGAGTCAGGGAAGGGGGAGGGGGAGGGAACCAATGTCGCTCATGCAATGGAGACCAGATGCAGAGTGTTCCAAAGAGTGGGGTACACCTCGGATTGTGTGGGTGCCCCTCGGGTCTGAGCTTTTCAGCGGTGGGAACTGTTTCTGGTGGTTTTTGTGTCCCCAACAGCCAGCATTATTCCTGGCTTGTGGTTCAAGCCCAGTGCTTTCTTAATGTGTATAAATGAGTCCCAAGGCAGTTGGAGTTTTTTTCTGTTTTTCATGTGAGTGTATTATGTGTATTTGTGTCTATGCACAGTTTTGCTTGTGTGTGAGTGCATGTGGAGGCCCAGGGTTGGTGCTGGGAACCATCTACTTTATTCATTGAACTCAAACCCAAGTCTCTCTAGTATGGCTAGTCTTGCTAGCCAGCTTCATCTGGAGAGCCCCTATCTTGTCTTCCAAGATTAGAACTACAGAGAGGCTGTCATGCCTACCTGGCGTTTACCTGGGTTTCTGAAAACCTAATCTGGTTCTCACTAATACTGCAAGTGCCTTAACCGTGGAGCCGTTTCTCTAGCCCCAAGGCAGTGTGTTTTGATAGGCAGGCTTTCGTTTTACAGTCTGTATATAAAATAAAACGTGCAGTGTTCATGGCTGATAGCACCAGCGAGCTTGGGAAGAGCTTGTCTTCAGGTGCCTGTTCCTTGTGATCGCATTCTGAGCATGTTGTTGCAGGGCCCGCTGTCCTTCAGGGACGTGGCTGTGGCCTTCACCCAGGAGGAGTGGCAGCGGCTGGGCTCTGAGGAGAAGACGACGTACAGGGACGTGATGCTGGAGACCTACAGCAACCTCGTCTCCGTGGGTGAGCACCGCTTCCTTCTCAGCTGTTCAGATCTAGGGTTGCCTTTGAAGTCATTAAAGAGTTGGTGGCTTTAATTTGAGCTCTGTGGGCTGATTGTGAGTGGTTTGCGCTGATTGGCTGTTCTGTAGCGATAAAGCACGAGGGCTTGTGCTCTCCCGCCGGTACAGCGGCAGTTGCCCTGCACGGTGGAAACGGTGAAACCGGGCCGGCAGGCTCAAGTTGTGTTTCATTTCTCATTAACAGGGTGTCACATTATCAAACCGGATGTTATCATCAAGTTGGAACAAGGAGAAGAGCCATGGATAGTAGAAGGAGCGTTCTCACCTCAGAGCTATCCAGGTGTGTTAGTGGAGGCAGAGAGGCAGAGAGGAGATGGTAACTGGGGCGTTGCTCCCAGGAACATTCTGATCGTCCCGCACTTTAGAAGTTACCAAAGGTAGTTAGTCGCTCCTAAAGGTTTCTTCCTTCCCCACAAACATATATGCTTATAGAGAATCAACCCCTGGCTACCTCTCTCCAGAATCAAAGGTTTCCTAGCTGCCTGTGTAGGGTGCTCACCTTTAATCCAGCACTCGGGAGGCAGAGGCAGGCCGAGTTCAAGGCCAGCCAGGGCTACACAGATGAGCCACTCATTATCATAGTTTTCTCGTAAGTGTATTGTCAATCATCAGCCTTCAGCTCTTAGGCTGTTAACCCCTTTGCTTTTATTTTCATTCTCTCTGACCGTGAGATGCTTTGGGCTCTGTATCAGTCACTTCCCTGTGGCTGTGATAAAAACCCTCACAAAAGGAACTCACAGCTCCAGGTCCACAGCCCATCACAGCCTGGCAGTCGCAGCAGCAGGGCTTGGAGGCAGCGGCTCTTGCTGTGCCCACACTGCACCCATGGTCAGGAAGCAGGGGGTGATGCTTGCTGGTGCACAGCTCCCTTTCTCATTTTTCTTCAGGCCAGAATCCTAGCCCAGGGACTGGTACTCCAAGTGGTGGTGTTTCTTTCTCATCAAGGAATCTCATCAGGATGACCCCACAGGGTGCCTAGAAGCTGGACTTCTAGGTGATTGACAGTATTAACCATCGCGGGCTCTTTTTTTTAAGCCTTTATTTTTATCTTATATGTATGTTTGCCTGTGTATGTATCTGTGTACCATGTGCATGCAGTGCCTGTGGAGGACAGAAGAGGGGTTGGATGCCCTCAGCTGGAGTTATATGGCTGTGAGTAGCTGTCTGGGTGATAGTAATCTAACCCAGGTCCTCTGGAAGAGCAACCAGTGTTTTTACCCGATAATCCACCTCTCCAGCCCCTTTCAGGCTATTTACTGTCGTCACTGGGTGTGTGTGTACAGGTTCAACAGCATGCATCTGAGGTCACTGGAGAACTTCTGTGGAGTGATTCTTTCCTTCTGTGTTCACGTGGGATTCAGAGGTTTAACTTAGGTTGCTAGGTTTGTTCAGCAAGCTTCTTTACCCAGTGAGCCATTTCACCTCCCACCTGTAGCTGGTGTGTTTTACTCTTTACTCTTAGGGGGCCTGCCACACAGTTCCATGTAAATATACAGAGACATATTCTTACTTAGGAATGCCTGGCCTTAGCTTGTTTTGTTGCTAGCCAAGTTTTCTTAAGTAAGTTATCCCATTTGCCTCTGGGCTTTTACCTTTCTCTATTCTCTATTCTTTTCTTTGCTCCTTATTCCATGGCTGACTGTATTGCTGGGTGGCTGGCCCCTGTCGTCTTCTGTCCTTCTCCTTCTATTTATTCTTTGCCTGGCAGCCCTGCAGTTTCTCTCTTCTGCCTAGCTATTGGCCGCTCAGCCCTTTATTAGACCAATCGGATGTTTGTAGGCAAAGTAACACAGCTTCAGAGTTAAACAAATGCACCATAAAAGAATGCAACACATCTTTGCATCATTAAACAAATATTCCACAGCATAAATGAATTTAACACATCTAAAATAATAATCCACAACACCCACCTCTTTATTTTCTTGAAGTCAGCTTACAAAATCCCTGTCCTAAACCATTTGACGCTGGCCTCTCCCTGCCTCTGTGGCCAGGTCTTCTCATTCTCTGGAAATCCAGCCTTATGGTGTTTAGCTCCTGCAGACCTGGTCTCTTTCTTGCTTCCAAAATACTTGGTTTTTCTCTTAGCTTTATACTTGCTCTCTTCCCCAGCCCTTGAATGATGTTTGATTGTATTGTGTACATAAGCAACATTTGATTAATTTCTCTTTCCACCTTCTGAAGTATCTAGGAAGGATATTTTTCCGCCTGTGCCCTGGCTTCATGATTCTTCAGAGGGCTTCTCCACTGTCAAGTCTGAGGTTTTTCTTGGCCTGCTTGTTTCCCTGCAGACTCACACGGGTGTTGCAGCTGCATGGCACCTGATGTCTTTTCTTTGCTAACAGCGTGTGTTTCTCTCATTCTTGCTGTTTGTGAAATTGGTAATGAACTCTTCCGGCTTATGGCTGCTGAGCACTTTTCCTGTCTCCCTTAATTAATTTATTGCACACTTCTCATTTCTCACCATGGCCCTCATAGAGTCTCTGAGAATATCTTCTCATTGGGTGGTACAGGTGTCCAGAGTTGCTGCATGTTTTTCCCTTAGGAAATGTCTTATTTACCTTTTGTGCCATTGTAATGTAAGCATGAAATGTGCCTGGACTGCTGTTATTCCTGATTGGCTTGGGAAGACTCTTCACCGTAGGTACCCAGTTGATCCTCTACAAAGTAAACCTGTCTCCAGAGGCGTAGTACTAACGGCCCTGTACTGCCTGCAAGAGTTTCCTGAAACCCTCACTAACCGCATTTGCTCCATGGTCTCAGCATCTTCTCGTCGTGGGGTTTTCATCTCTGCACTTCACACTTCGCTGGGATGGGCTGTGCTGTCAAGTTTCCTCACCTGGAAATGTTTTCCTTCCCAGCTCTTATCATTTCTCCAGTTTCACCCTTCTCTCTGCAGTAAAAGTAGGCAGGACGTCCAGCAGGAAAGCTTAGGAACAGAGACTTGTAGGTGCCCATGTGCCAAGAATTTGCTGGCTATCCCAGGAATCCTAGCATAAGGCCGTGGGCACTGTGATCTGTCTCAGCCAACTTGATAGGACGTGATGATGTATGTAATATTGATCTCCAAAGCAAATCCTAACTTCAGTGTTCCACATGACCCTCTTTCTCAGTTAATAGCCTGCTTTTCCTGGGATAGCATGTTTTCAGTTATGACCTATCCTGCCTGGCTTTGAGTCATTTTTTAGTCCAAGTGGTGACGTGTTGGTTTTTGGCACTGGTGGATTCTGGGAGGTGGTAAGAAGAATAAGATTAATAATTTGAGATTTGATATGCATGACATCGAGTGAAGTAAGTCCATCCCATAATTTCTAAGATAAGTGAAAACAAAAATCACCATTGGAAGAGCATGCTGGGGGCCCTGACTCTTACATTCACACGAAGTGGAACTCACATTCAGAATTAGACTGCAGCAGATTGTGTGGGAACGGCTGTGTCAGTGTCTTCCGGTTGCTGTCATAAAATGCCATTGCAGGTGGGGTTTTTGCTAAGGACCACAGGCTCCCAAATAACCACATACAGACTTATTATTAATTATAAATAGTCAACCGATAACTTGGACTTGTTACTAACTAGCTCTTAGAACTTAAATTAACCCATAATCCTTATCTACAGTCTAACACATGGTGGTACCTTTTTTCAGCATAGCATGTTCATTTCCTACTTCCTCTGGGTCTGACTGGCAACTCTACCTTCTTCATCCCCAAGCTTTCTTTTTGTTCACAAGTCTCAACTAATCTCTACCTGCCTAGCTATTGGCCGTTTAGCCTTTTATTAAACCAATCAGAAGGCACCTTGGCAAAGATACATCTTCACAATGGACAAAAAGATTATTCCACAGCACAGCATGACCAAGGGAACAGAGAAGAGAGAGTTTATGTGGGGGCTGATGGTTCCAGAAGGATAATAGTCTATCGCTATCACAGCAGGGCATGGCAGCAAGAGGCGGGAGCAGTGGCTGAGAGCTCAGGTCTCAGTCTACAGACAGGAAGCAGAGAGAGAAAGCTCAAAGGGCCAGGAGTCTTTTGAAACCCAAAAGCTTCTCTTACTGATACTTCCTTCTAAACAGCCACCAACTGGGGACCAAGTATTTAAATGCTCAAGACTTACAGGGAACATCTCGTTCAAACCAACACAGAGCTGGTAGCTTGAAAGCAGGAAGAATAAATGCTCAGGAAATCTTCAATATGTATTCTGTGCCTCTTGCTGTTATGAGCATGTTGAGTCCTGTAATCCCACAACAACCGTGTGAGGTAAAGCCCGTCACTTCCTGCTGATAGGTGGAGATGGTGGCTGTAGAGGCTGTTACGTAGCTCTCCCTGGATGACCGTATCAGCTCACACAGCACAGTTAGGAACTGTCCAGCTAGGAACAGTAGTACATTTCGTGGTCAAAGTGAGTTCAGTCCTAAACCACAGCCCTTTTTTAAAATTTCAAAGCTTTTAGGGGATGACATCTTTTTCTGTGCCTTTTGATACTCCCTGTCTCACATAGACGTTCCTGAACTTGCCTTCCAAGTAAAGCTTAGAGGGAGAGCCTGGGTCTCAGGTTCTAGACATGAGGAAAATTCAGGGGTAAAATTTATGTGATACTGTTGTGTGGAATGCAAACGAGATAATGTGGAAGGATAAAGGTGGAGAACGAGGCACAGGTGTGTCGGCGCGGCCAGCAGTGCCTCAGATTCTCCACCACACCATCCTGTTTCCGTATGTCTTGTGCAGTGGCGCTCCTAACTGTCCTGCGGACTCTTCTTTGCTCCGAGTCCTCTCATCCAACACTCCCCGCCCCTTTTTACCAGTCATTGCTCTGGATCTGTGGACAAAGTGTTAGAAAGTGACCCAGATCAAAGGTGCTATGTGTCGTCGGTTTCCTTTCCTTCCCGCCAGTGGAGATCTGTCTGTTACTCCAAACAATTCTGAGGGGGAACTGACAGGATTGTGAAGCTAAACTCAAAACGAGCGGCCGTGTATCAGTTGTCAGACCGTGTCTTATGTAGGAAAATGTACAAACCTGGGTTCATTTTCCTTTCTTTAGATGACCTCTGGCCGGCAGATGACCTGATGGAGAAAGGCCTGGGCGATGGACAGAAGCTCTCAAGGGCAGCTGTGCTCAGACACAGAAGCATGATCAGAAAGACGGGCGATGTTGCCGGCGAAGCCGCTGCTGTAGAAACACTTGTTCCTTCGGGGAAAGTCATCCCTAAATGCAGCTCCTGCGCCAAGAGCTTGACGTGTATCTCCGCCTTCATCAGCAGCGATGGAAGCTACGCAAAGATGAAGCCCAATGTCTGTGCTGGGTGTGGGAAATCGCTGCTCCATGCTAAGCCCGAGAAAACACATCCAGGAGATGATTCTTACGAATTTAGTCAGAATGAAGACGATTACACTCTAAGTGAAGAGAATTTTTACCAAAAAATTTGTACTTTGGAGAAGCCCTTTGAATATGCTGAGCGCCAGAAATCCTTCCCAAAGAACACTGTTTTCGCTGATCCCATGGAAGAGAAGCCCTACGACTGGAGTGAATCTGAGATGGCTTTCCTGCAGATGTCAGAGCTCGGTGTCCACCAGAGTTCTCACGTGGAAATGAAACCCTACGAGTGCCGGGAGTGCGGGAAGGCCTTCTGTAAAAAGTCAAAATTCATCATCCACCAGAGAACTCACACAGGAGAGAAACCGTTTAAGTGTAACCAGTGTGGGAAGTCCTTCTGCCAGAAGGGCACCCTCACCGTCCACCAGAGGACACACACGGGGGAGAAGCCCTATGAATGTAACGAGTGCGGGAAGACCTTCTACCAGAAGCTACACCTCATCCAGCACCAGAGAACTCACTCGGGAGAGAAGCCCTATGAATGCAGCTACTGTGGGAAGTCCTTCTGCCAGAAGACGCACCTCACGCAGCACCAGAGGACACACTCAGGCGAGAGGCCCTACATCTGTCCCGACTGTGGAAAGACTTTCTCCCAGAAGTCAGCCCTTAACGACCACCAGAAGATCCACAGCGGGGTGAAGCTGTACAAGTGCAGCGAGTGTGGCAAGTGCTTCTGCCGCAAGTCCACACTCACCACGCACATGAGGACGCACACCGGGGAGAAGCCCTACGAGTGCAACGAGTGCGGGAAGTTCTTCTCCAGGCTCTCCTACCTGACTGTGCACTACAGGACCCACTCGGGGGAGAAGCCCTACGAGTGTGCCGAGTGCGGGAAGACCTTCTACCTGAACTCGGCCCTCATGCGGCACCAGAGGGTGCACACGGGGGAGAAGCCCTACGAGTGTGCCGAGTGCGGGAAGCTGTTCTCACAGCTGTCCTACCTGACCGTGCACCACCGCACCCACTCGGGAGTGAAGCCCTACGAGTGCAGCGAGTGCGGGAAGACCTTCTACCAGAACTCGGCCCTGTGCCGGCACCGGAGAATCCACAGAGGGGAGAAGCCCTACGAGTGCTACATATGCGGGAAGTTCTTCTCGCAGATGTCCTACCTCACCATCCACCACCGCATCCACTCCGGGGAGAAGCCCTACGAGTGCAGCGAGTGCGGGAAGACCTTCTGCCAGAACTCCGCCCTGAACAGGCACCAGCGGACACACACAGGGGAAAAAGCCTATGAGTGTTACGAGTGTGGGAAGTGCTTCTCGCAGATGTCCTACCTCACCATCCACCACCGCATCCACTCAGGGGAGAAGCCCTTTGAATGCAGCGAGTGCGGGAAGGCCTTCTCTCGGATGTCCTACCTCACCGTGCACTACAGAACACACTCGGGAGAGAAGCCCTACGAGTGTGCCGAGTGCGGGAAGAAGTTCTACCACAAGTCAGCGTTCAATAGCCATCAGAGGATTCACCGAAGAGGGAGCGCCATGTAGCTGTGTGGGAGGACTCAGATGACCGCCTCAGTGAGCGAGTGGAGCCCTGTGTACATTCGGTCCTCAGCACCCATAGCTTCCATAGCCAAGGGTTCAGCGAACCAGAACCACTTAGGGAGAAGGTTTATCTGTACTGGATATATACAGACATGTTTCTTGTACAATATAACAATGTTGGTATTGCATTTGTATGATATTAAACATTATAGATAATCTAGAGATGAGTTAAAAATACATAGGAAGATTATGTACACAAATACAGCATTTTACATAGGGACTTAATAAACTGCAGACTTTGGTGTCCAGGTGGTCCTAGAACCACACTCACACATACAAAGGATACTTTATCAGAGAGGCCACACAAGTGAGCAGGACATGTCCATGTGAAGTGGATCCATCTGGAAATTCACAGGGCAGAAGCCACAGTTGTGAAAAGAGCACATAGCAGCCTATCCAGGAGTAAGAATGTATAAATACATCTCAGCACGATTTCAAACTGCGCTCAGGGAGTTGACTCACTTTAACGTGAGACGCACACTCCTTTGGAAACTGCTAGTCCTGAGGGATGCTCTGTAAAAATCAAGATAATCCGCTAGAAATAAGTACACTCTGTAACTGCAGGATATAAAATGTCAGTCGAGTTAGCCAAGTTTGCTGCATTAAACTGGCAAATAATTCCCTAGGAACACAGGACTTGGGATGTCTTGTTCTTATTTTAGTAACCATCACAGAAATCATATGTTCATTCAGTTTTAATCGAGCTTGGAAAAGCATATCCTTAGTTTGTAACATATGGTAAGGTAGCCCATTCTAACTGAGTTCACATCATGTTACTTTCTGAATATGCACTTCACTGAAGTAGGATCTGAAAGTTATGAACTGTGCTTTTTCCTCGTTCCTTGTATTTTAAAATGCATTTGGTCGTTGTTACAGGATTATATCTGTAAGCAGCCATTTTTTTTGTTTTTAACTATAGCAAAGACAACAGAAATGTATCTATAAAATAGGAAACTCTGAATAGATCACTTTAAACTAAGCCAGAAGTCTTCAAGGGTGAGAAGTAGCTTTAGCACTTACTGTACTCTGTACAACCACGAACTAAGAATGTCCTCCTTCCTATCTGCTGCTTGTTCCCTTACTTTTATGTAGATGCTGAGGTCCTAGCACGGGCTGTGCAGCTGTCTGCGCTGCTGTGCAGCTGTCTGTGCTGCTGTGCGGCTGTCTGCGCTGCTGTGCGGCTGTCTGTGCTGCTGTG